CCCCCCCCTCCCTATGAGCCCAGTGGCCGTCTGCGAGACAGCGAAACCCAGCCCGAACACACACACCCGCAGCGTCCCGCCGTCTCAGGGGGGAGAAATCGGCGGAGATGCAGCTGAGAAAAGATTGAGTGTGAGGAAGTCCACGGATTGGTCAATTTGGACCAATCCACGGTGGGGTCGTCGTTACGTCACTTGGTTCCCGGAAGAAAATAATGGAAAAAGAGAAATGTCCAACGAGGCGTTCTGGGGCAGCATAGACAGGTCTCTCCTGTGTTAGAGTTTTACTCCCTACAGGGTGTACAGGGTGTTTGTGACTCATAACACACAAGGGGACGGGTAATAACCGGAAAAAGCATGACATGGGACCTTTAAGTATTTCTATAAAAACATTGAAAAATATTTTAAAACATTACTAAATATAGCAATATTTACATGAATATGAATTTGGTTGAAATCGTAGAAATAACATTGGAATAAAATGTGTGCAGTGAAAAACAAGGTATTGTGTACATTAATGTAACACAATGTTTAGATGTTTCATGTTTTAGAGGCTAAGATTTCCAAATCTGTTAATGATTATTCAGAGAGAATAAAGCCGAATTATCTACGCCACACATTTGTTCCTATTTTTTCTACATAGAGGTGTCTTAAAACCCCCTCGATGCTTCACCGGAAGAAGAAATTATTAATCAAATGAAAGCTGAAGGAAAGAGTCGAGCCGGACCTCAAATACAGCGAAGCGTTGCTGAGCGTTTCTGACAAACATTTGAAGCTTTAGAGATTAAAATATGTCTCTTCATTTTATTTATTTTATATTATTTGTTTTTGTATTGAAACCATTTTGTTCGTGATTTGTACCTCTCCTGTTGGTATGGTAACAACGAGTAGCCTGTGTGTGTGTGTGTGTGTGTGTGTGTGTGTGTGTGTGTGTGTGTGTGTGTGTGTGTGTGTGTGTGTGTGTGTGTGTGGTAGCTTCACTATTTCTCTTTCTTTTCACAGAGGTGTTTTTTTTCTGGTGTTCTAATAACTTTTCTGTCATCTCCTTTTCCTTCCCTCCTCGTTTCTTTTTCCTCTCCTTCCCTCCATTATCTCCCTCTCCTCCTATCCTCTCTTCCTATCCTCTCCTCATCTCCTCTCCTCTCTTCATCTCCTCTCTTCCTCTCCTCTCTTCCTATCCTCTCTTCCTATCCTCTCTTCATCTCCTCTCTTCATCTCCTCTCCTCTCTTCCTATCCTCTCTCCATCTCCTCTCTTCCTCTCCTCTCTTCATCTCCTCTCCTCTCTTCCTATCCTCTATCTTCCTCTCCTCTCTTCCTCTCCTCTCTTCCTCTCCTCTCTTCATCTCCTCTCCTCTCTTCCTATCTTCTCTCCTCTCTTCCTCTCCTCTCTTCCTATCCTCTCTTCTCTCCTATCCTCTCTTCCTCTCTTCTCTTCCTATCCTCTCCTCTCTTCCTATCCTCTCTTCCTCTCCTCTCTTCCTATCCTCTCTTCATCTCCTATCCTCTCTTCTCTTCCTATCCTCTCCTCTCTTCCTATCCTCTCTTCCTCTCTTCCTATCCTCTCCTCTCTTCCTCTCTTCCTCTCTCCTCTCTTCCTCTCCTCTCTTCCTCTCTTCAGTTGAAGGAGTTCATCCAGGCCAATGACCTGGGGGCGGGGCCTGCGATGCCTCGTTCTCTGGAGATCGTGGAGGGCAACGTCCGCTGGCACCGCCTCCACAGACGGCATTTCTTCCAGTGGCTTCGCAAATCTCCCAACTCTAACCTCGGCTAACGCTTCGCCGGCTAGCTAGAGTGAAGCGACTGCTAGCTTCCTGTTAGCACACTGCTAGCTTACAGACGAGGCGGTCGGATCGAAAAACTGGACGAAGAGACAAAGAGAGACATGGACTTGACTGGCTGTTCTGTTTTTAAGAAACTGGTTTGCAAAGGTTTTATTTCAGATGTCATTTTTCAAAGCTGAGTCACTGATTCAGTCATCGCTAGCAGTTAGCCTTCAAACCCCCCAAGGACAAAGAGAGAGGAATCTGCTTTCAGACTAACAACAACAACAAAGTCCTGAATTTAAACCAAAACCAACAGTTTAACAAACTTTTAATATTACAAATCAAACATTGCAGTATGTATACCCTACGTTTAAATATAAACACGTTTGAAAGACCCTAAATTGCCAATACACAACAAATAAGAAAACTCTTTAAAATTGGCCAAACTGGATAGGAATAGTTGATAACGATGGATGAAGTTAGATGTTTTTTTTTTAGGTGAACCAACGTTGACATAGTCCTGAAATCAGCCCAAACCTCCCAACTCTAACCTCGGCTAACGCTTCACCGGCTAGCTAGAGTGAAGCGACTGCTAGCTTCCTGTTAGCACACTGCTAGCTTACAGACGAAGCGGTCGGATAGAAATACTGGACGAACAGACATCAACTTGACTGGTTGTTCAGCTGGTTTTGTTTTAAAGAAACGTTTTATTTCAGATGTCATTTTTTTTTCAAAGCTGCTAGCTAGTTAGCAGTCGCTGATTCAGTAATCGTTAGCTATCAAATTAGCCTTCAAACCCCCCCAAGACTTAAGTGGGACAAAGAGAGAGGAATCTGCTGTCAGACTAACAAACTGAAAGTCCTGAATTTAAAACAAAACTGACTATTTGACGAACAGTTTAACAGACTTTTAATATAACAAATCAAACAGGGCCGTATATGAACCCTACGCTGAAATATAACATATTTTAAAGACCCTAACACAAAAAACTTTGAATGCAAAACCCAAAATTGCCATTACATAACCAATATGATTAGAAAACTCGTGAAAGTTTGCCAAACTGGATAGCAGTAGTTGACTTAAAATGTGGGTTAATATTGACTTAAAACGCAAACCATCTTGACATACATGAAGGTTAGAAGTATGTAATGCAAACTTACATGAAGTTAGATTTTTTTTATGTGAAACCAATGTTGAAATTGTCCTGAAATCAGCCCAAATAGACCAGGGAAACGATGTTTTGTTCTTAACCCCCCCTCCCACCTTATCACCTGAATCTCCTCCTCGAGCACCATTGTGTTCTTTGTAACCAAATCTCTCTCACGGCCCGTCCACACAGCGGCGTGCGTTGAAAGCTTCACCATTCACTTTCAATGGGGTGACGTCACTTTTCGCCAAACTGCATTGTGAGAAGCGAAGCGGAGCTTTGGCTCTGCAAAAGTTGAGCAATGTTCAACTTTTGAAGCCTCGGCAGAAGCGTCAGCCAATCAAATCATATGCCAGTACAAGCTCTAGCCAATCAAACCGCTGCTTGTGTGTCAGGGGCGGGAGATTCATGTGATTGGTTGTTGGTCGAGTTTCAGACACGCCCACCGGCAAGCTTCAACGCACGCCGCCGTGTGGATGGGCCGTCAGAGGGGCGTGGGGGGGGGCTCCTTATTTTCATCTAAAGTAACAGACAGAGAATCAGCACTTTGGAAACAGGGCTGAAACAGAGGGGATTATGGGTAATGCTGCAATGATCTGTTTGGTGTTTCAGCCAATCAGAGACAGGTTCTGAATATATCTGAGACCTGAAAAACAGTATAATAGGGGACCTTTAAATTGGTTAACTAAAGATGTAGCTTGTATTTTTTTTTGCTCACGTTGGCTCTAATCCAGATTCATCACTAACCAGAGACCTGACGGTAGAGATCCTTCCAGTGTGCGCCACATTAACCCGACGGACATTAAAAGGCAGATTAAGCAGCAGCCGTCAGCCGCATGTCGATCACTGAACAAAGATGTAATTAGCGCAACATGGACTCTGTGTCCTCTGATCACAGCTCTCAGCGGACTCATCTAGGTTCATTAACTCCCCGGCAACATCCAAACTGCTTTAGCTTTCATTTAAAGAGCAGCTTTGGGGTTTTTCTCAGCACCCTAGCTTGAAAAATATCAGCAGGTGTGGTTAGCTTTGTTGCTTCTAAAATGTACTTTGAGTATAAAAGCTCACAGAGAACGCAGCAGGGAGGTTGTGTTAGGGGTGCAATTAAAAAAGGTTAAATTGAAAATAAGTAATCATGGGTTCTCACACATAAGGCATAATGGGATGTAGGAACGGCGCAATGAAAAACAAACATGACATTAATTAGAAATCTGCTAGAAGTTCGATCTAAAAAACTGGAAATCCATTTTTGTTTTGTGGGATTTCCAGTTTACTTTCTGCTGTGTGTCAGAAATGGCTCTTTCTTTTAAGTTGTACATTTTGTAGTTCATTTATATTCCCCGAAAAGTGTCAAACATCATATTTCTGCTGACACTCAAATGTTTTCTAGCACTTACAAAATGTGGCCAAAACGGTTTGTTCTCTAGACTCTAAAGTCCCAATTTTACAACATAAGTAATGTCCCTAGAAAGTATATATTTCACATCTGCAATTCAGACAAAAGAAAGTAAGTTCATGGCACTAAAAACCAATCGGGAAAGTTTTAAAAAGTTTGCCCAAACCCAACCCGTCTGAGATCTGTCAGCCAAAGGAAGTGTTAATTATTTAGTGAATTCCAGAAAAGTGTCAAACATCATATTTCTGCTGACATTAAAATGTTTTTCTAGCACTCACAAAACCCTGAATTATGTAAATGTAGCCAAAACGGTTTGTTCTCTAGACTCTAAAGTCCCAATTTTACAACATAAGTAATGTCCCTAGAAAGTATATATTTCACATCTGCAATTCAGACAAAAGAAAGTAAGTTCATGGCACTAAAAACCAATCGGGAAAGTTTTAAAAAGTTTGCCCAAACCCAACCCGTCTGAGATCTGTCAGCCAAAGAACTTGTTCATTATTTAGTGAATTTGTAAAACCTGACAGAAAGTCCTAAGAGGGACTAAATGGATTTTTAAAATGACAGATTGATGAGAATGAGCAGAGGATCTGGAAACCTGAAGAAAGTCAGAACTAACAGATACCGACTGACTGCAACTTTTGGAGATGACCAAATAGAAACTACAAAAGCACAAAACCATGTTGGACGAAGCACATCGGCCTCAAGCGGCTGAACACAAACTCAACGGCTAGCTTTCAATCCTTTAATGTTGTCAAAGAAGTTCGTGGAGGAAAGACACGACAGTTGAGATCTGGTTTAAGTGTCTTTGTATTCAGAGGATGTTTTAAATGAAAGTGTTCATAGGGTAAAGAATCTCAGTGGACTTTACGGCTTGTAGGACACGAAGGACAGGGTTTTAAAAGATAATCGAGTGATTGATATTTGTAATGCAAAGCCTGACGAACATTTCGAGGCTTTGAATTCTTGTTCTGACGGAGAATCCAATGGACAGCGCTGTTTCCCGAATGAAGAAATGATACTACGGATTCTTTGGCGAGATGGAAAATGGGGATTTTGCGATAGAAGCCACAACAGCACTTAAAGTTCAAAGAGTCAAATGGATTCTGCAGGGTGAAAACGTTTGGATATCTCCATCACCTTCTACATCTGAGGTGTAACGGGTTCTAACGTTGGACTGAACTAACTGTGGATTCTTTGAAACGATGAACGGTACAACAAAAAATAGACTTCTCTCGGGGTCCAACTCCAAAGTCCAGATTCATCTTTGCAGAGTATTTAGAGGGAAAAGGAATTGAAATGAATAAAACTGAACTTTTTAAAAAGTCTCGTGCGTTGAACCTCTTAGACTCGGCTTTGGTGTTAATAATTGAGCCATATATGAATTAATGGGCCTGCCTGCTTCTATACACTGTGTGTCCAGTGGTGTGTGTGTCTGTGTGTGAGTGTGTGTGATGACGATGATGATGACGAAGGTAACAGCAGCAGTGCTGGCGGTCATGGTGATTTAAAACGATGATAATTTAAATGGTTGGTCTTACGATCAGGACGATAATCTAACGATGACGGTTGAAAACGGTAAGGATGATTGTTGATGATGTGAAAAAGCTAATCAGTATTATTTTTTGATTATTACGCTAAATATTTTGTGCATTTTGTCGGGGAATATGTCAGACTTAAAGCACACATGTACAAAAAACACTGTTAAACAAATATGATATAAAACAATTGAAATGTGATTTTAAGATGTTGGAGGAGATGTTGTTCATGATGATTATAAGCTTAATGATGATGATGACGATAAGGACCAAAATGTGACGGGAACAGGAAGTTGTAGAGACGAGTTTAATTCTACTTCCTGTATGCACTGCTGTGGTTTCCTGTGTTTTCTGATTGGAAGATATTAAAATGGTATTTACCTTGTGTGTGTGATCCAGTCTGAGTCAATTAAAGGGGACCTATCATGCAAAATATAATGCACTTTTTTATGTCTTTTCTACATCAACATGTGTCCCCGTTGTGTCAGGGAACTCACGCAACGTCAGAAAATAAAACCCTCTCTCTTTTCCTCCGTACCCAAATCTCTAAAAACGGGGAACAACGGAGCTGATCCAGATTTGCGTCCGATATGAACTAATATCTGAAATGTGGACCCACGGCCCTATCAGAAACGTTGCTATCAGAAACAATGCCCGACTGTTTTGGACGTAATATGGTCGGTGTTTACATTAGCATCGCTAACACTCAGAGCTAACCTGTACTGGAGAGCATGTGTGTGAAGAAGCAGGAAGTAAAAAGGAACTCACCTTGTGGTATAACCGGCAAGAGAGAAAGCCTTTGAGCTCCATACTGTTTCAGAG